AAAAAAGGACGCTATTTTCACTTTTCTGGTCTTTCATTGCAACAGTTCGAGTCTTCCTCCGTATATATGTGTATGTATATAATACTTTTAAAACTGACTTTTTTATTTTAGCCTTCAGAAGACTCTTGTCGGCTTGTTTCAAAGACAGCAACCTGTTCTAGAAGTAGGAGAACTTGCAAAACTGCACGAAATAATTCGGTTAGTTTTTCGCTTTCCTTTTGACTCTCTACATCCAGGTAATGATAAAAATGTCTGGTAATTTTTTAATTCAAAATTCCCCTTTTTTCAGACAAAACATTTTGTGAGCAGAACTAACTACTCGAGCAAATTTTCAGAGAGGAAGTATTAGCTAAGTATTACCAATGTAACATTATACAGTAGTTTCTGGCATGAAGTATTGGTTGAATGTGACAAATACAATGTTAGGCAGTAGTACTAGTTACATATGGCCAAATGTAAAATCAAGCAGTAGCTTCACAGCAGGAAGTATTATTTGGATAGAATAAATATAAAATTAAGCAGTAGTTTCTGGTATAAAGTATAAGTTGGATACGATCAATACAAGATTATGCACTAGTGTGAAACATTAATCAGGAGTAGACAGTTTATGGTACGAATTATTAGCTTAATATTCCAACACGAGATTAGGTAATAGTTTCAGACATGAATTATTAATAGACTGTGATCAATACAAGATTAGGCAGTAACTTCAGAGATGAATTATTCCGATTGTTGACTTAACATGATATGACTCTTCAGTGAGTTCTCCACCGTGTACCTATATATCTTTAATTTTTTTTTTACAAATAAAACCAATAATTAAAATAATTTTGGTAGCTATTTCTGTCAAGGGTGACCAGTAAAATGCTGTTACGACAGCGGAAGTCACATGACGCTGATGAGTTTCTCGAATGATTGGGGAAGTTCGAGTGTGTTCGAGATGCCCTGTTCGTTAGTATATAAGCCTAGCAGAGAAAGCCAGCGGGAATATGAATGAAGAGAGAACATTAGTAACTTTGAGTTCCGTGTAATTTATGATTCTGTTAGTTTCGAGCTAGTGAGCCGTAAAGTGTGTGTTTTGCACTCGTCGAGAGCGAAATTATCGAGGACTACAGCAATGGTTGGAGGAGAGAGAAAATAAACAAGAAGAGAGACTACAGCAGTGGTTGGAGGAGGAAGAAAATGAACAAGAAGAGAAACTACAGCAGTGGCAGGAAAAACAGCTCCAGTGGAAACTGGAACAAGAAAGGAAACAAGAGGAACGAGAAAAGAAACAGGAAGAAAG